TATTAAAGAAAGTATATTGAGTAGATGTGCGGTTGTTTTGGCGCCAAAAACGATAGCAAACAACGGTAGCAGACGGCGCGCATATAGTGGTGGGGAGACGGTACCTTTTTTACGTTACCAGCGATGAGCGGAGAAGGTACGTAGTTTTTCTGTTTGCCTTTCAGCCGTTCATCCAATAATATCATGTGAATATATCTCCACCTAAGTTATTTGACAGAATAAAGTTGCTTTTTGAATCAGTGATAACGCTACGTTCTGATTTCAAGAAGAGATCCCCATCTTGAATTATGATAAGATTTAAGGAATTTGAGTGCGCGCTCTTGATAAAGATATCTTTGTTTTTTCTGGGGATTATAAGGAATGTTACCAAAGTCTGAGGACAATGTTACCTCTCTCTGCAAACGCGGATGATAACCTATCTGATATCGCGTCAAATTCCCCCGTGGTAAAAGGGAAACTTTCATAGCAGGGAAAGAAGCAGATAGGGACGGAAAAACATCTGAGGAACTCGACTAGGCAGTAGAAATTATTTAGGGAGAGAGGGAAGGAGACGCTTGCGATGAAAGGAAGCGTGGGGATCGCGAACGCGAGAAGGTCTGGAGATAGTCCAAACGTAATTCATGCAGAAGAATGCTTTTGAAAACAATGTCTAGTGGGGTATGCGGAGAAGATATTACAGAGGCAGAACGGTACAGACAATAACCCTTACCATAGTGTCGGAAGGTAGTCATGGGAACGCAAGGCGGGAGGATAGCGAGGAAAGAAAGACTTAGAAAATATTAAGTTAGCCGTTTAACACCCGTTAGTGACCAATATCAAGCAGACAAGTGATGAGAAGGGGAGCAGGGATGGCGCAGTGGTGAGAGCACTCGCCTCCCACCACTGTGGCCCGGGTTCGATTCCCGCACCTGGCGTCACGTGTGGGTTGAGTTTTTTGTTAGTTCTCAGTCCTTGCTCCGAGGGTTTTTCTCCGGTTCCTCCGGTTTTTCCTCCCTCCGCAAAAACCAACATTCCAAATTCCAATTCGATCTGGAAACAGTGGACAAGAAGAGCCACCCAGTGGATGTCCATTGCTAAATTATTTATTTATTTATTTATGAGAATAGAAAAAAATACCAATCACGGTAACTACTACTAGTTAGTTTAATACCAAATTCTGCGAACTAACATCACAAGAATTTTTTGTAGCAGACAGTAAGGGGACTTACTAGGGGAATCTTTGAAGTTAAAGGGATAAACGCATGCATGAATTAGAAAAAGGGAACTTCCATTGT